AGCAGCTTTCTAAAGTCTCAGGCAGAAGTCTTTCCCATCACCTACTGCCTGGGTCCTTTCAACAGAAGGTGCTGGGGATTGAACCTAGGACCTTCTGCATGCCAAGCAGATGCTCTTCCACTGAGTATTAAGAGATGGCAAAGAAACCGCATACACGAGAGCTCAAAAGGTCTTCAGTGTGCTTGGACTGATCAAAACAGAAGGTGGCCTCCATAACTTCTCTTTATGATATTACAAGGAAAAGTCCATCCATCTCAATGAGTCCTTTGTTTCATTCTACTTGATTCTTCTTTACTGCCACTCTGGATCACAGTTACCCATACAGGAAATACAACCACACAAACACTGTGATGTGATGAAGAAAGGTTAAAGCACTTGAGTCTCTTTAGCTTGGAGAAACGACAGCTGAGGGGTGACATGATCGAGGTTTGCAAGATCATGCATGGGATAGAGCAGGTTGAGAAAGAACTACTTTTTTCCCTTTATCACAATACAAGAACTTGTGGGCACTCCATGAAATTGCTGAGCAGTCGGGTTAGAACGGATAAAAGGAAGTACTTCTTCAGCCAAAGAGTGATCAACGCATGGAATTCACTGCCACAGGAGGTGGCGGCAGCTACAAGCATGGATGGCTTCAAGAGGGAATTGGACAAACATATGGAACAAAGGTCCATCAGTGGCTATTAGCCACAAAGTATAGATAGGAACTCTCAGTCTGGGGCAAGGGATGCTCTGGATTCTTGGTGCTTGGGGGGGGGGCGACAGTGGGAGGGCTGCTGGAGTTCTGGCCCCAATGCTGGACCTCCTGATGGCACCTGGTATTTTTGGCCACTGTGTGATACAGAGTGTTGGACTGAATGAGCCATTGGTCTGATCCAACATTGGCTTCTCTTATGTTCTTATGATGACTAAGAAATTTAGTAAATCTTTGCATGTTAAACATTGTACTACATTATAGATAATCCCACGTGGACCTTTGATTTTACTTTGTGCGAAATCTGATGGCGCCTTGACTGGAACTGGGGTGCCAGCTGAGCGGTTATCCAGGTCTCTGTGCGTGTTTTTGGGGTACCTCCATCCCGGCTCCTCTTTCAGGGATCTTCTCGCTGGCTTACAGTTATAATTCTAAAGAGCAGAACTGTCAGTCAGTCCGGAGGAGGAGAAGAAACTCCCTTTCGGGGGCGTCCTTAATTCACTCTATCAGATCAATTAGAAGCTTTTCTTACAGTTATAATAAAATGCGTTTTTCTAATGCTCAGTCATTAAATACAGCATTTAAGGCATTTCACAAGCTGCAGACTATCTGGCCTCCTTGTTCTCGTCTCAAAAAAATCAAATTGCCAGCACATTTAGAAGACATTAAGAACGAGAAATGCCAATATGGCCTGAAGATAAATCAAATGCTCGTGGAATTAATTACATCTACTCTCTGTCCTCGCCGAGCTGTAACTAGAGTTTTGTTTCTGCTGCTCGACAAGTAGGAAAGGATGTGATGCCCGGGCTTGGCTACCGCAATGCATTATTTGTGGGACTCCCTCTGAAGACTGTACAGAAGCTGCAGTTGGTCTGGAGTATGGCAACCAGATTAAATAGGGCAAGCCACTGGGAACATATTTTCCTAGTTTTCAAATAATGTCACTGGCTCTCTGTTTCTGAGAGCATTTCAAAATGCTGGCGTTGAACCACAAAGCCCCAAACAGTGAGTCGCTTCTTACAACCAGCTTATATACCAGTTTGTCCACTAAGAAACTTTTGAGACCCTTTTCCAGACTTTAGATACTCTCTCCTTCCAGTGTCTATCAGGGAGGGCAGTAGATTTCAGGCTGCTGTCAACAGAACCAATGTGGTGTAATGGTTAGTATGTCAGAACCTGGGAGACCCAGGTTTGAATCCCCACTCTGTTATGGAGGCTTGCTGGGTGACCTCGGGCCAGTCGCACACAGAGGTCATTTCGGGGGGGATCGCGGGGGATCGCAGTTCCCCCGGGTGAGGTACGGGGGGCGGGGCACATGACGAAGCCTCACCCCCTGCTTCCGGCCGCCTCGTTTCCGGCCCTCATTCAGCCAGGAGGAGGCAGGAGAAGAGGGAGGGTAAGTTGCTTCCTCCCTGCCTCTCCCCACCCCTGCCTGCCTGGGGCCAGGGAGGGCCTTCGCGGGGCTTCCTTGCACTCCCGCCGGCCTTGCAGGTCCACCGCCGGGCCCCTCATGGGGCTCGGCAGTGGAGCTGCAAGGCCAGC